TTTTTTTTTTTTTTTTTAAGGAATGTGAATGATGGAAACATCTTTAGGGAAACATTTTGCTGGACTTGATTGCATCAACCGCATTATTTTATGAAATGTTAACTGTGAAGTGGTTGTTGATTAGAACTCCAATTGAGGAGTGATGTTGAGCAATGTAAAGAAAAAGAAAATTAGTATTAGGAGGTGAAATGCCTTTTTTTTTTTTTTAGTTCTTTCTGATTTTGATTTTGAACTTTAACTGTTTCGTGCATTCTCTTGACCTTTATGGATGAGTACATTAAAAAAACCCCAACTAACAACTATGGTGTGAATATTTATTCACGCTAGATGTATGTAGTTGTTAAAAGGACTGGTATCAGTTAGCAATGTACTTTTTGGATTAAATATGTATTAAATCTGATTAACTTTTGTTCTGGAAGTTGAAATATCAACTTACCTAGTTATGCATCTAAACTTTTTTTTTTTTTTTTTTTACCAAAGCAAATGTTTACATTTTTCAGAAGGAATCTCTCTCTCCCAAATGATGTGCTTATAGTGGCCTTTCATTTTAGTGATCTGGGCTAAGCATTTCAGATATTATTGTTCAGGTGTGTGAGGTTTTTTTTGTATACTCTTTAGTTGATGAAAATCTCTGGCTGTTAGTAAAGACACACATTTTTGGAGAGGTAGATATATAACCCTTCACCTTTGGAACAAAGGGATTGGAAACAAAACGACTGCGTGCCACGAAGGTGTTTTGGATTTGTTCAGTAATGGGAAATATTGCTTGGAGTGAGAAACATAAATGATACACCTGTATTAATGTGAAATAACTATGGGATACGGTCATTTAGGGAGAACATACTGTAGAGATCCTTTCTGATCTTTGGGGATATTCAGCTGTCAAATTCATTGATAAGTCTGCATTGCAGTAGGTGAACTATTTAGGGGTTTAAAACCCTTCTTTGCAGTGAAGTTTTCATACTCCCTATATTGGTAACCCACTGCACAGATAACAGGGAAAAAAACAGAAGAGAAAGGTCACACTGCTCTTGGTGCACCTGAAAACATTTCTCGGGCAAGTGAAAATGTTTTGGAGAAGCATCTCTGCAAAGGGCCTTCAGTACCTCAACTGGAACCATAATTGAAATGATAATTAAATTGAGTCTAAATTTAATTATCTGATCTGTCTAGAAGAGCTTGTGAACCTTGGTCTGGATGCATAGGTGCAAAGGCAGCCACTTGAGGCGAGGAAAGCATGTGTTTAATCCAGGTTAGTGTCCGCTTTTGGGAAGTTTTCAAAGGCGACCGCCGTGAGATGGGCCCTGGCTCCTCTTCTGGGAAGTGGGACGGTCGCAGCTGGGATGGAGCTCCTGGGTCACCAAGTCCTACCTGCCGTGAAAGCCAGCAACCGTGGCTTAAACGTAATTCAATCTTATTTTAAACCCAGGCATTTTTCTGCTGCTGCCTGTGGCAGAGGAGTATTTCAGCCCTTTATCCTCTGGTAGTTAGAAACCTCCACGCTTCCACCCAGGAGCTCTGCTGATTTCCAGCTCAGGCGGTTGGTAGCAGTTGATGAGACTGTCAGAAGGGAAATACAACTTTTATATCTTCCTTTCTGAGCTCACTCTTTCCTTCAGTCCGGATTATGATCTTCATTTGTCTTCCAGTCATGCCTTTTGGGCTTGATTGTATCTGCAGAGGCCCCTGATTTCCCTTTCCGCAGCACAAGTGCTCCGTGTACTTTCTGTTTCCTCTGCAATTCATAAAGCCTCTCCTTAAACCGCGACGTTCTTAAGCGTGCATTTTGGTCCTGAATTAGCTCCCCTTGTGCTCGCTGACGTGTGACTGGATGGTGCTCCGCTCGTCTTGCTTTTCCTCTGGCTTCTGTGGATGCTTGAGCGGCGTCTCCTCGCGCCGTGGAGGTGCTCGGACTGACCCTTGTCACGAGGCGAGAGGCAGACGATGTCCTGCCAATCTCCTCCTCCCAACGCTGGTACGACAAAGAAGTATTTGAAGCATCCCCGAGAGAACTGTGTTATTAGCCAGCGTGCTTGGGGAGGAGTGACTCTCGCATCGCTTCCAAAGTGCAAACGAGGTGATTTTTTTGTACAGCAGCGTCTTTGATTTATTTGCGGGCGAGATTGTGTGTCTGAGGAGAAGCTGGCTGTGAAGAAGAGGCTCGTAGCCATTCACGTTGGTCTCGTTTCTTAATGTACCGTGATCTTTCTAATCAATTAGATGCAATTTTGCTGCTTGAAATCCGTAAGTCATCATGATCCATCCATAGAAGTAGTCGATCCAAAATGATTGAATGAGAAAAGTGTTCTTCTTGTCATCTACAGTATTTTTCCAAACTACATAAACAGCATAATTTTTTTTGCTAATTTCAAATGCAAATCAATTAGTCCCGTCTGATGATACTGGATTCTTGTATGCCATCATGCATCTCTCAATAAATAGATGAAGAATTTTGTGTCGGTGACAATAAATAAAATCCACCTATCCATTTTTTGCCTGTTGACGGTCTTTTAGCTCTTTGAATTAAAAAAAAAATTGGCTCTTAATCTGTCATTTCTCAGAACTGTGAATAAATTTTCAAGAATTACTTCCATGTGACTCAACTACCTGCCAGTCGAATGGATGCAGTTCTCCAGAGGTGACTAAATTGCGTTACCTTCTTGTTCCTTCCACTCAATCATTCTGCTCCTATTTTGGTGTTTAAAACATTGATATCCCTAAATATGAGAGGAAAAATGTCAGTGGTGTTGCTGTGTTTATGCAAATTCATATAACCCTGATTTCTTGAGGAAGTAAGGATGGTGTGGCCACACTATCTGCCTGCCCACCAGTAATTCTGCACTCCCTTTGGCCCTTCGAAATGTGGATCAAAGAGCATAGATGTAGAAGATGATCTGCTTTTTTTTTGGTTGGTTTTTTTTTTAATTTTGAGAAAGTTGACTGCTGGGCAGAGGAGAGAGAGCAAAATCAGAGCTTCTACCCAGGGAACAGTTCCCCTTATTTTTCTAGGAGACAGCATCTTGCTGGCTGGTTAGGTCACGTGCAGCTGGAGCACGTGTGGGCCTTTGCCAACCCAGAGGAAAGAGGGAGTTTGGGAGAAATTTTGATCAGGTGGGGAAGAGCTTGTAAATATTATGGGGGTGGTGGTTGATGGCCCTCATGTAAAAATGAATAGGAAGTAAGTGCTTGTTCGTCTCACTGATTTTGGAACAATGTGTCGAGGATATATATTGCGTATTGTTGTGTTCCGGTGTATTGATGCTTTGCTTTGTTGGGTGGATAATCTTGACGTGGGATTTTGTGTTTATTTACTTGGTTTGAATCGGTAGCAGCAGAAAGAGTTGTGAATTTTCAGGGTTTTCTTTTGTTGAGAGGCAGGTGTGCTTTGTGATGGGTGTCAGAAGCAAGAATCCCAGACCTATAACTAAGACCCCAGTCAGGGAAGATCCAGCTCTTAGGAAATATCCAGCATTTGAAGATCTGAAATTTGTGGAAGCTCTTGAGTATGAAGCAACTTTTGAGAACCAGGCCATTTTTGGGAGGTCTTAGGCTCCAAGCAGGAACATGAATACACAAATCTGAGTCATTTCCAGATAGATTTTGAATATATAACTTCACTAAAACATGAGTGAGTTGTTTATCTATTTTTCTAAAATCTCTTTCTCATTGCCTCTCAATCTGAGAACAGGTGACGTGGTTCATCGTGCTTCTGTTTCTTCCCTCTTTCCTGCTGGAACCCTGTAGGGAAGTGATGATGATGATGATATTCATGGCATAATACCTTATTTTTTAAAGAGCCATATAGGGCATGAGGTTCTGTTTAGGACGATGGTTTCCTCACAGTGTGAGTGGTGCTTGAATAATTTTTAAAAAATTCCTCTGAGTTTTGTTTACTATGGATGTGCTGAAAACCCTGAGCACTGCAAAGGAAATTCAAGTGACTGTGTGCTTTCTGGGAGGGGAAAAACGTGGGTCTGTTGATGCTCTCCAGCAAACCATTGAGGAGGTTATCGCTGTAGGATTTGTAAAAGCTGAAGAACCATGTTCCTTGTCCTCTGTTGGAAATGCCGTTTTGTATTTGGCCGTATTTTCTCCGTCTTTCCTTCCTCTCCTTGAGTTTAATGGTTAGGTGGGAAACTGAAAGGTGGGAAAATTAAAAGTCAGAGCAGAAAAATAGGATTTATCATAGCTTTTATACGATAACTTTCTCAATAGGAAGATTAATACTGAAGTGTATTTGTAGGCTGAGCATTTTTGCCTTCCTTGTCTTAGCAAGGGTTAGGGATTTGGGAGGATTATTGAAGACAAGCTTAGAGTATTTTATGAGAGAAAAAGTACTAAACTGGCAAAAAAAGAATAGTTGCCATCATGCCTGCTAGGCATGTCTAATTCTTTGATAAAATGGATAAAGATTGCAAACTGCAGCAAAAGTTAAAATAGACCGTAACAGTTCGGGTTCTGCAGGGATTTTTTTCTTGCTTCTAATTTGCTGTAGAACTTAATAAAAAAGATCTGCCTCTTTTATGGCATCAGGCTCTTTAGTTTCTCCGCCATGAATTAAAGCGCAGTATTTGGGCTTTTGCTTTCTTTGGCGTTAGATACCCAACTCTCTAAATTTGATAACGTGTGGG